AGATCTCAATCCAATAGAGCACCTTTGGGATGTGGTGGTACTGATTTGCATCATGGATGTGCAGCAGACAAATCTGCCGCAACTGTGTGATGCTATCATGTCAATTTGGACCAAAATCTCTTAGGAATGTTTACAGTAACTTGTTGAATCTATGCCAAAGGATTAAGACAGTTCTGAAGGCAAACCAACCTAGTAAGGTGTACCTAATAAAGTGGCCAGTATGTGTATATTGCATTCACAATTGTAGATTAGTCATTGTGACGCATTGTCAACTGTCTAACACATGCTAAAAATAAATGGAGGTTGAGGCCTTGATTTTATGACATTTTTTTCTGTGGGACATCCTACATATGGAGTTCAGCCTTCAGCATATGTTTCCTAAGACCCATCCCAGAAGACATTGCTGTCAACTGGTGTCGGGAAGCAACAATAACTTAATGCCAGAAGGAATTCATCTCAGACAGATTTCTCTTTCTCTTTTTATTCGAGCTCTACCTTGTTTGTCTGAGCTCAGCGTTCAGTGCCCTATCATACAATGCTATAATTTTATCATCACCCGATCGTGTCGGAAGATAAAAGATGTTGTGTCATTATAGACATGTAGCTTTCAACCTGATTTATCCTCAAAATGGAAAGTACCATTATCCCTTTTTGTCAAGCAATTAATTAAGACAAGACAAAACTTGCATCTTAATGATATAGTTGCTCGTGTTTAGCTCATCACTATAGTGATGGAACAAAGAAACCGCCGGAAAACAAGGTGTGTTTGCCACTGCAAGTGATTGTTGCCAGACATTTGGTCTAAGATGGAAAAAGCACGAGACCCATTTCCACTGCAAAACAGTTCTGTGGCTAACCTCAGGTAATAATTACCATAGTTTAATTTTAATTAGAGTATTTACAGATTTGTATTACATTTATATGAAGAATGCATGGAATCATATTTAAGCCATAAAATATACGTCATTCTAACAAGTTACATTTTTGTCAATTAAACATGAAATTGACTAAACCAATAATATTTCACCCAACGAGATGTGAAAAGAAATGCTTTGTCAGCAACAGAATTTCCTTATGCTTTCGTTTCTCCAGTATTCATTTCCCTCAGCGTCTACAGGAGACAGTGGAAGGCTATTAGTTTCCCCCATCCTGTTATATAACCCGGAGCTGATAAGTGAGAGAAATATATTAGAACACGCATTTAGAGACAACATCCCTTTATTTTCCATGAGCAGCACTCCTTCGGGATGAATGGTTCATCAAACAGGAATGCCTTGTTGCTTCGTCCCCGAGGTGCAAAATGCAGACGGACTCAACAACAACAACTATATAGAAGGGGTTGGGGTGTTATTACCTGAAGCTGCAGGGCAGGACTAACCGCTCTGCCTTCAACTTACTCCATTATGGCAGTAAACACAAGAAGACACTGCTGAAGGGATTTTTAAACAAGGTTGAGGTTTATTTTTGCTTGGTTAGGCCTGATAATAGATCCTGTTTAAGCTGAGAGTTCAGGAAATTAAAGACGGCAGGGCTTACCTTACTACAACATTCATTCACCAATAGCGTCTTTGTCCATACAACCACTCTTTCCTAGTACATTCACAAAGGAGCAAAAACATTATGACCAGTTGGTGCTCTGTTTGGACTCCAATAGACCCCTGAAGGAGTCATGTGGCTTCAGTTGATCCTGCACATCCCACAGATTTATTGAGATCTGGATAATCTGAAGAGGAAGGTAAAACCCTTAAACTCATGTCCCTTAAAATGTTTCAAAACAATGTGTGCGCAGGGTGGCAGTGTGCTTTAACCTGCAGAACAAGGCATTGTGTTGAAGGGTTGTATCTGGTAGGCAAAAAAGTTTAGCTGCTGTAGCATGTCAATTTGCACCCACATGAATAAAGTGGTTTCCAAGTAGAAGACTGCTCAGGGCATCACTTTTCCTCCGCCGGATTGTCGTTGTCCCACAGTGCATATTGGTGCAATCACTGTTCTGGCACAAACACACATTTATATATACACAGCCATCTGTGTGATTTAAAATAAAATATGACTGATCTGACAAGATAACTTTCTTTCACTAATCCAAAGACCATACTGTAAAAAATGGCCGTGATTTCAACGAAAAAAAAAACTGTAAAAATGCTACAGTACAACCCCGAAAAGATGTGTAGATGTTGGTCATTTAAAATACAGACATATTACCTCTATAAATGAATAAATACGGTATTTTACCGTAAAAATGAGAAATTACTTTTACGGTTTGTACCGTGTTTTTAACGGTAAAGTACTGGCAACCACAGCTGCTGGTAAATACCGTAAATTTTACAGATTTATTTTTTACAGTGCAGTGTTTGCATGGTTATTATAGGTGTTTTCAATGTTAATTCTGATTGGTATGCAGCCTAGTACCATTACAAAGATGGTACAATAGCGATCACTGGCACAGTCCTTTTTCTAGGGTCATGTTTGTACCTTATGTATCCCTGAACAATGCTTATTGGTGACTTAATAGTATACACCTTTCACGATTTTTGTAAATTTTACAGTAAACTGTATCTTACTTTGGGACAGTTATGCAGTACGTTACTGTATTTTTAAGTTGCATTGTGAAAAGTACTGTATATTTTACAGTAAAGATATACATACAATTCTGTAAATACATACAGCAGTATTAATGGTGTTGTAAATGTAAATAGACTATTTGCCCTGTAATTGATTAACAGTAAGTTACTGGCGAACTGCTGCCAGTAAGTTACTTTAAATTCATTCATTCATTCATTTTCTTTTCGGCTTAGTGCCTTTATTAATCTAGGGTCGCCACAGCGGAATGAACCACCAACTTATTCAGCGTATGATTTATGCAGCGGATGCCCTTCCAGCTGCAACCCATCAATGGGAAACATTCATCCACATTCATTCACACTATAGACAGTTTAGCTTACCCAATTAACCTATCATGTATTTAGACTTATGGGGAAAACCGAAGGAAACCACCCAGAGGAAACCCACACCAGCATGAGGTGTACATGCAAACTCCACACAAAAATGTCCACTGACGCAGCCAGGACTTGAACCAGCGATCTTTTTGCTGTGAGGCGATTGTGCTACCCACTGCGCAACCGTGCTGCCCTTATTTTAAATTATACAGGGAAATTATTAACAGTGTATTATACCTAAAGTCCACATTTTACCTACACAAATACCTAATTATCTAATAAATACCTAAATTACGTATAGTATGGATTAATACAACTTTATCACAGTTCCTGAAGCTATTGGAAGAAGATGCTGCTGTAATTTTGCTGTGTTTGCACTACAGGAACTGGGAAGAGATTTGTTTCTAGTAAAAAACATTTGGGGGAACTAAAGGATCCTCTACATCAGAATAGGTTTTAATCCACTTCAATAAGAACAATAGCTGATGTAAGTGTAAGCTGATTGGGTGACTGCTACAATATAAAACATTTTGAAGTGTTAAAAGTAAGAACACACCACACATTTTTGGCAGCCAAAATTATCTTATCATTATTAACATTATTACATTTTTGTTTTACAGCCACTAAAAATCCCATTCATTTCATTGGCTTGCACTGCACAAGGGTGATTTGATGCTGCACCAACTAAAATGCAAGAGCAGCAGAACACACCAACAAATAGTTTAAGTTAATGAGTTAAATGTAAAAAGTTTTACTTTATATTATTAAATAAAAGAACAATTATTACAAAGCATTTCAGTTTTTGGCCAGGAATTTTCCTTTTAGTGAACCCCTAGTTATAAGGCATACTCAATCAGAAAGCTAATGTTAGCAAGATTTACCTGTTGCTTTTGTCCTTGTGTCTTGTCTTCTTTTTTCAGCCTCAACAACACGTAGCACTAAAGGTTCAAATTGTCATTGGAGATTTAGTCAATTTAGCTATTTCATTCACATAACTTATACACATCCATTATCATATTTTTTATTACGACATCCTCTATTCTCTTTTTTTTTTCCAATTCAACAGGCATTGTCACTGTTAGCCAGCTTGTTTTACTTCAGAGTTCTAACTGATGGTGTGCAACCGGGAAGACTAGCTCTTGGGGAACTGGGACTTGTGCTAGTTTCTATGAGTGATGAGTGAGTTCATGTTACAAAAACAGCACCATTTCATAAGGTACATCCTCTGCTTTCTTTGCTCTTGTGCATCCATAAAGCTTTGGTGCCCAACATCAATGCAAGTTTGTGGATTGTTCCTCCTTGGACCACCACTACTAGTAAATTCTCACCACTTATGACTGGGAGCAAAGCTGATTCCATTACTTTAAGCCAGGCATTTTGCCATCAAATTTAGCCTTTCTCAAACTTGAATCTTTATTCTTGCACAATGCCACCAAGGCATTGATTATAAGAACTGGTTGTTTGTTTGCCATCTAATCTATCCAGACCTCAATGTTATTAGTATGTATAATAATGTAATGTGTTATTAGGGGATGATCAACTGTATTTTCTTCACCAGTGACTGGTCATGAAGATTTGGCTCATCTTTGCTTATGACGTCTGGAGCTCCACAGAGAGAATGTTCAGTCAACTGGGTAACTCACTCCATCTAGTGGTCCAGCTATGTAATTATGTTCATTCAAAGATATAAAATGACACTGGACGGTACAAGAGAAAGCACTTACTGACTGCACAAGGACAGTGGAGAGAAGAAGAGAAGGGATTTGTGTTTGCATCTCTATGCCAGTCTCTTTTGTTCCTGCCTGAGGTGAACTGAGCGGCTGTACCGATTGCTTACACCCTGTGTTTATCCTCGTGTCCTGCTGAGTTGATGAATGCAGTCCATGGCCAGTTCAACATGGGTCTTTTATAACAGAACGGGTAAGTCTGATCATGCATTGCACTGGCTGTATTTGCTTGCTAAGAGAGCATATCATCTTTAATAGTCCCTTAAATGCTTGTCATTCAGCTGTCGCAAAAGAAAATTAACTGCAAATGAAAGCAAATGGCAAGACTGATTGATCAGACACTGAAAATGAGAAAGACAACATTTTCTACTGCATTTTTTTCAGGGTTTTATGGCCTTTTTTATGTTTTAGCGTACAGGTCAAGGGATTTTTCAGGCATCACGACACACATTTTTAATGTTGGCCATTTTTTCATACATCTAAATGTGCCCTGCTTTTTCCTAAGCAAAAATATTGAATATCATACATTTTAACCAACATTTACAGAACATTCCTTCTGTTATTCTGTGTAACAATAGTTTTGTCCAAAACAGGCATATTTATGACAAAATCTATTTAAAAACATGTTTAGAAAGATTATAATGCAGCTAATTTACATCTTTAGACTTTGCTACTATACTACAAGTAGGTTTTACCTATTTGCCAGCCCAAACTTGAAAACATTAAAGATTGTAAAAATATTATCATCACTTATGTAAGTACAGCTATAAATAAATTTAATATTTACATAAATGTATTGTTTCAGGAAATAGAACATTGACAGAACCTTATTTCACCCATATTTCCACATTTTTTTCCACAAAATCTATAGCATTAGAAATCTACTGCATTTAATGTGCTGTCAGCTCATGGAAAATCCATTATTGTCAATTGAATTTGACGAATTGACACCATAACATTGCACACTAGTGCATTTACACACTCAGGTTTTTTAAAAAGCAAAAGGTTGTGCATGTCTCCGCTCCATTTGACCTCTTCTGCAACCTCCTTCCATATCTGTTAATCGCATATCAATAACACACTTGGGTTCTACCAATATCTTCACTCCTTACAATAAAAGCATCCAAAAAATCCATGAATGCAAAATGTCAGTAGAACTCAAATCTGACAAGGTCATGCCAGCATGACTTCCACCAACTATCCAGTTACCAAAAGCACCGAAGCTTGATTTCTTTTTCAAGGGTAAATGAGGACAAATCAGGGGAGTGGTCGCATCCCAGTGGACCAGAACAATACCACATTGATCAGAACGCATTGATTTCCTGCTGTTTCATTTCGATCACTGCAGGAATGTATAGCGGGAGTAACATGCACACACTCCCTCTCAGCCAGGATAGAAGTTAGTGCACGCAGCGCTAAAGCCACCCAATCAGCTGCTTGTTACGGGACGCTGAGATCTCCACAAAAAGCCACGCGTGATTCCTATAAATCACAGACGGAGCCATCTGAGACGTTTTTGGAGTCAGCTGACCTCTGGGTGGCTGTTGCAGCTGTGTCAGCACATATGCAAATGCGCCTGTGTACTGGGGAATTTGGCAGTGGAGAGGTACTGCGGCAGCTCAGGTGATGACTGGGGGCTTTATGCTCGCAACTGGTCTGGAGTAAGAAACATTTGGATTTGTGAAATAGTGGTGTGAGGTTGGGGGTGGTTATTATTGGAAGGGATGGAGGGGAGGGATGGGGGTCGTGTCAGTGGAAGAGTTATTGCTGAATGTTTGTCAATGTCTTGCTTTTATCTCTCTTTCTCTAGGGCTCAGCAGGCATGGAGCCTCTCAGCCCGCAGGTGCTGGTGGTTGTAGCAGGAAGTTTCCTGAGCTTCCAGTGGCTCTTCCACAGAGTAAGCCCTTGGGTGTTTCAGCACCTCTGCGGAGGCTTTCTCAGGCTCAGCCCTACACAAAAGACAGAGTGGAACTCCAGGTGCCAGACTTTATCTTCTACACTGTGAAAAATGTTGGGTGCACACAACCAATTTGTGTTCGGACAACATGAAGGAATTAAGTTAGCTTATTAGTTTTTACAAATGTAAGTGGATTGAACTTAAAACAATAAAAAAGTTGTCCTAAAAAAAAAAAACTCTTTGTTTTTGTTTTTTGAATTGTGTTTTTTTTCCAGCTAACTTAAAATAAGATGATTGGGCAAACATAATGTTTTGACTGTAAGAGCATGTGATTCATTTATTTTATTTAGTGTTGTGCACTTCTGTAATGAATTTGTCTGAAGTTGGAGGGTCTATGTTTTCTCCAAGGGCCGTCTCTACAGTGCACGCCTTGGTTGTGGGACTTTTCTGCCTTTACATATACATCTTTGACGAATCTATCCAAAAAGATCCTGTCTGGTGAGGATTTGAAGTTTATTTACAATAGTGGTTTATAATTCCAGTCCTCGGGATCCCTCATCCTGCAGGGCAACCCAAGGACTGAAATTGAGAACCACTGAATTACAGGCATCATGGTGGCACAAGATGTAATGTAACATACTGTGGCCAGTATCATTTTTGTCAATAAAACAATGATTATTTGAGGATGATTTTCAAGAAAATACTAGTTTAGTTTAACATTTTATTTAAATTTTTACTTGCAAAACTGATTCTATACTAATTTTTGGAGGAAACATAGTTTCTAAACCAATTATTAAATTAAGTTAATTAAGTCTAAACAGAACAAAAACAACAATAACTGAAGGGAAAAGTGTTTCCTCACCAGTTTTTCAGTCTACTGTCTAAAGTTGTTGGTGATATCACAAACTGTTTCTTATTTAAACTCTTATTTATGATAACAGGGGAGACGCCACACTGGTGAAACTAAATGTGGCCGTTACCTCAGGCTATCTCATGTCAGGTGAGTGCTTTATGTGGCATTATATCAATTCATTAATGCAAAGATTAAAACAAAATATAGTTCATTCATATAATGAATTGAATGCATCTTATCTACAATGAGGCTTTTTTTCTCTTCTTATTTAAATGAATACAATTCTTAATTAAAAGTAATGACCGAGTGAATTTATTTGTTAATTTATTGATAAATACATGTATTAAATGCATTTATTAAATAAATTTCATATACTAAATTTCATGGATACATCAAGTAAAAAGAACACGTTAGAAAAACACATTATTTAGTATTCAAATTGTATATTGTATAGTCTGTTTTTTAAACTATTTAATTATTAGTTCATTATATTTCATGAACACTTTTTTTTTTACTTTAAAATATATATTGTACATTGCATATATATTTTTGTGAATAATGATTAAAAGGGCTTTTGCAATGTCAAAAAAATCATATCCCGTTAATGATGAAATATAAAAACAGACCACCTTTTTTTAGAAATTACATCAAATAATAGTTTATATATTTTTATTATGTAATAATATAATATTTTATATATATAATATTTTATATATATATATATATATATATATATATATATATATATATATATATATATATATATATATATATATATATATATTCTATATTAAAGTATATTCTCAAAAATGTATTCATTAGTATGTGATTATTTTTTCACTTTATTTGAAACTTTTGGGCAAATGTTTGATTAAAATGCACAAAATAATAAAATAAATATAGTTGAAATTGAAACCACTTTAAAAAACAACAATTAGACTAATACACTAAAAAAAATAAAACGATTACTCCTGCCTGCTCAAACTAACTGTTTAAAATGATGTTCAGTCCACATAAATTTTAAGCCATTAAGTTAACTTAAGCATTTTGTGTTGGGACAACATGAAGGAATTGTGTTGATCCAACTACCTGGTTGGGGGATTTGTAATTCCCAGCATGGAAATTGAATTAATAGAGGGAAATGTTGACAATATAAGTAATCTTTGGTGTCTAAAGTTAATAGAAAGGTTTGTTAGTTTAATCTTCACTTTAGTTTAACTATTTAGAAGATTTTCATGCAATGCTTTGAGTTTTGAGAGAACCACCTTGCACAAGCACCCATGCTTTGTCTGTTGGCAGTCTAATTAGCAAAAATGCAGTTTGTTGCTTTGCTCAGTGAACAATAACTGTCCTAAAAGTAGTTCTAAGATTAGTCTCAACCAACTGTATGTGCAAATCATGAAATATGCTTAAAGATTGCTCTTTTAATTCATTTAGGATAACTTCAAATAAAACTAAGAAACTTTGAAATGTACAACACATCATAGACATACATGATATTATCAGACCTTTGAGTTTAAGTTAAATAAAAATAAAAATGTATTTAAACTTTTATTTGATCAAAATCATGTTGGACCAACTCAATTGCATTTGATTGTGTAATTAGTTTTGTTTTTGTTGGTGCTAAACAAATTTATTAGATGGAAATCCTGCCCTCAATTTAATTGAGTTCATCGAATGCGTTATTTTTTGAGTGTGCTTACAATCCTAACAAATATTGTAAAAAAAAAAAAAAAAAATGTAAACTGTTCTCGATAGACTATTTATTTTATCCATATAATGTACAGTGCTCAACATATAAGTACACCCTCACAAATCTATCTTTTAAATTCAAAATACTTCTATAATAGGAAGCTATACAATATTTTTGTGCATATACATTTGTCAGTACTGAAGCCAAATCTGGAGATTACAAAATCTTCTCACAAAATAATCATCTTATCTTATCATCTTACAAAATAACTTACGATAATGGTCCAAAAACTAGTACAGCCAAATTTATCTTATAGAAAAATATTAAATACAAATTTAAAAAGATAAAAAATCAAGAGAAGCCAAATAATTGAAAAATGTTGTTGAAATTTTGTAGGTTGTAACTTTTCTATTTGCAATATTTTGATTGAATTTAATTGTATTACCTTTCAATTTCTAAAATATTATTTTAATAAATGTATCTCTTTAATAAATCAGTTTTGTTCAAATGCACCAAAATACATTACCTACGTTCACTGAGAAATTGACTAAAAAATATAAATTTTCAAAGTGGGGTGTCCTCAATTATACTCAGCATATGTATATGTATATTGTAATACTACACATCCCTAATTAAGATGCGTACTAAATAAATTTATTTTTACATCATAGAAACACTAACAGTTAACATGCACTGTGTTCCTGTCTCAGATCTCCTGCTCATGTTCACTTCATGGGAGTCAATTGGAGAGAAATACTTTGTCATTCATCATTTCGCTGCCCTCTATGCTTACTATTATGTGCTGGTGAGTTGTGTTTCCAGCTGGCCAGGTGTAATATTACTTCCTCAATCTTTCAAAGGTCATTTTGTCCTCTTTCTCCTCTACAGAGTCAAGGGATTTTGCCTTACTTTGCAAATTTTCGGCTGCTATCAGAATTTTCCACCCCTTTTGTGAACCAGCGGTGAGTAATATGTCGAAATGCGTCTAATAAATCACAAGTCACAAGATCAAATTTTCACATTTTGCTTTCCAGTTGGTTTTTTCACATGTTGGGCTACCACAAACTTTCCAAACCGAGTCTGCTTAATGGTGTCGCAATGGCGTTCACCTTCTTCTTGGTGAGGATCGCTGTCATTCCAGGCTACTACAGCCATATGTACTCGGTTTTCGGCACAGATGACTTCTACCGGTTACCTATTGGTGCCCGCTGTGCCTGGGTCATTTCCAGCGTGTCCTTGGATGTCATGAACATTATGTGGATGCGCAGAATCATCCGTGGATGTCTGAAAGTCCTTCGCTCTGCCTGGACACGACCAGCAGGAACTGACATGGAAACCAGAAAGAAAGACTGACATGGAGTAAAAGACAGAAACAACACATCAGCACACAAACCGTCCATCTTGTCCATCATGATGCTGGAGTGCAATTGTCATATGCGTTACTCCAGCTGCTGTACTTTTGAGTTTTTAAACCGACCAATCAACTGCGTGGAAAGTCATTGAGTTAATAATGACTTATATGATGTCATCTTCAAATCAGTCAGTCACAGTTTTTAAGAAATCAGGTGATTAGGAGGCATGAGACTGATCACAATGTACAATCAGGACATGAGTTGTGGTTGCACTATTTATTATTAAGCTGCTATTAAGATCAACCAACTTGCCTTTATGAATGCAATCAACAAAGCAACAGCACATCTTAAAGTTCACAAAGATGCACAGCGTGTGCCTGTAGACCATGATAGATGATTTTTGACTACAATAAGGATAGGGTTATGCAAACTGAGAAGTGTAATGGCACAGCAGAAATGTGGTTTAAGCATATATAGGTGAAAGATCCTGTAGGACAGGATATTGTACTCAAGAAACTATGCATGTCTACAATTACTGTATATACGGAGAAGACTATAGTATAATTAGGGAGTATTATGTCTGGAATACAAACATATCAGATGACACAGAGTTATATGTGTTTCTGAAAATCTATAACTTAATGGCAGAGCCGTGTGTAAGCTTTTGCTTGTATAGTACTTGCTATGTGTGGTTTGATGGTTGGTTTTGGAATAATGACAATAATTACAGTATTTAAGCTTCAGTGGGGTAAGGCATTTCAGGTTATTTATCATTATATACTTCACTGTTATGGAATTAAGCAATGATATGAATGTTGACAAAGGTGTATATGAGCTATTGAATGAATTTCTACAAATACTGTGATGTTGAAACTGCTCATGTTAATGGAGTCGTCGTGTGTTTCTGTGGTGTGGCAATGTTTTAATCTACAATAAAACAATTTTAATTAAAGTTGGTGTTTCAGAATACACAAATATTTAACGATCATTTTGTTAGTTTAAGATATTTCAGCAGCTGACAACAAACTACTGTGGAAAAAAGTATAATCTGTCATAAATATGCATCATGCTTTATATCAGAGCTTTAAAATAAATCGGACGATACACATTGTGTTATAGTAACACTTTGCCTCAACAGATGCATTGAGTTGTAGGTTAATTTGAAATGTGGTATTTTCCCGAGTTCATAACTTACATTTCACATGTATATTCTCCTATGTTTAAATGTTAGAAGGTCATAAAAGCATGTCTCTCAGGTGTGCAGTCTTTTCGTTAAACTTCGGAAAAGATGCCTGCAGTGTGCATGCGCGGCAAACTTTACATGTAGCCTACTAAGGAGAATCTTAGACTTAGAATTAAGTGCATTTTCTTTTATTATAATAGGCTAATAACGTTAAGTGATATATATCATAACTTAAAGTGAAATAGAAACAGTTTGGTGAGTTCAATTTTTACATTTTTAGACTGCAGTGTTATGCTAAAAAATCTTGCCAACTTTCCTTTTCTCTTTAAACATTTTGAACAGAATTTCTTACATGGATATTTTTCATATGCGTTCAGAATATAGAAATATCTTTCAAGTTACAATTGTTACTTTTGTAGTTGGCTCAAACTTAAAAATGACTAGGCTTTGCAGGCATGAGTTTTCATTTATTAGTCCAGTCATCATTAACCATTTTGAACACTGGATGTTTTAAAACATTCATTCATTCATTGATTTTCTTTTAGGCTTAGTCGCTTTATTAATCCGGGGCCACCACAGTGGAATGAACCGCCCACTTATCCAGCACGTTTTTACGCAGCAGATGTCCTTCCAACCGCAACCTATCTCTGGGACCCATCCACACACATACTCATTCACACTCATACACTACGGACAATTTAGCCTACCCAATTCGCCTGTATCGCATGTCTTTGGACTGTGGGGGAAATCGGAGCACCCGGAGGTAACCCACGCGAACACAGGGAACACATGCAAACTCCACACAGAAAAGCCATCTGACCCAGCCAAGACTCAAACCAGTCTTGCTGTGAGGGACAGCATTACCTACTGCGCCAATGCGTCAGCTGTTTTAAAACAAACTTGTGTTTTTTTTTTTTCTGCAGACCTAAAATGTCTTAAGAAGGCTAAAAAGTATATTAGTTCATCTGATAGGTGCTTAGAATTTGTCAACAAAGCAGCTTTTGTATAATGTGTCCATAAATAAGTTGTTTCTTTGATTTGGCCAAAGCAGTGTGTCTGAGAATTTTTCAATAAAAAGTCAAATAATAAATCAGCTAAACCCAAATACATATATGATATAAAATGGCGTGAACAGTTTTTCATCAGGCTATTGTTGTTGTTGTTGTTGTTTTCTTTTTTACATTGATTAATGGCTGAGGACTTGTGACTGAAAAAAGGAAATTGTGTAACATTTTGTAACATTTACCCATGCATTTACCTTAAAATATCTAAATTAAACAAACAATCAACAAACTGTAATGATCAAACACCCTCATCATGAGCAGTAAACAGGTAGGTTTTTCATTTATAAATATATAATTACACTTTTTTTTTATAATAAAATGCTCTTAACTTACTCAGTCAATTATCAGTAATGCGAAAAAAAAGACCTTGTAACCAACAAAGTTTATAAATAAAGTTTGCTATTCTTAGAGTAATCAATCTACTGGTCTTGCCTTATTAAAACACTGTAAAAATTAAATATATATATATATATATATATATATATATATATATATATATATATATATATATATATATATATAAACTCTATATTTTATATAAGATAAATAAAAAAAAATACAAAATAAGATCACATTCTCCAATACTCTAGGGGTCAGTGTTGACCGGTGTGTTCTTTCTTGCCATACACGCGATGCAATGATGCAAAGCATCGTGGGCTCCGAGGCATGTGAACGACATTGACAGTAGAGGTGGGAGGTAAGCGTGATCTACAGTTATAGAGAGATTTTCGTCAATCAGCGTTGTCTTGCGCCTTTAGTTTCTACAAGATGCAGTGATGATAAGCTGTTGATAACATTGTAGGGTTAAATTAGCTGTGAAAATCCCATTTTGTTGTCCTTCCTGAAGAGTCTTGTGTAACGTTTGTTTCATAACTTTAGAAAAATCATCTGTAGTGAATGCTGCATGAATCAATAAGGGTGTTTCTGGAAGAAAGGAAGACATTCATAGTGACAGCATCTATTCTGTGAAACAGTGTGTATAAATATTGAGACGAATAATCTGTTATTTCTTTTATAAAGTTATACCTTTTGTTTATAGTTGAATGGAGACATAACTGTGTCATGTTGTCACAAATAATTCTGTATTCTTTATCTATAGTTAGACCTAAAGAATAATAGTTGTGTTCATGTGTTGTATGTGCACATGACAAGAGTTTATGCTTGCATGGATTTATACTAACACTTTTAGGATGTTTGTCAATTACATGACATCCCATTTTGCTGTTCTAGAGGTAAAGTTGTTTTTATATTCGCACATTCGGACTTTCCCCTTAATAATATAATTTCATAAGTATTATTTGCAAACTTTAAATAGCGAAATCAAATTAGCAGCCAATGACTATCAAACTACAACATAGTTCACTGTCAAATAAACTGTGTTAATGTTGTTTTCAAGTCATACTTGCAATAGATGTAAAGTTGGTTTTATATTCACAAATTCATTCATTTAGTAATCTCTGTATTGTTTACCATGTTACTTTGTAAGTATATTCTATATCCAATATTCTATGGGATTTAGCATGCAAGTGTAGCTTGAAAACAGCATTAACACTATTTATTTGACAGTGAACAATGTTGTACTTTGATATTCATTGGCTGCTAACATGATTTCGCTAATTAGAGTTTGCAAATAATACTTTTATGAAATTATATAGTTAAGGGGAAAGTCTGAATGTGCAAATATAAAACCAACTTTACCTCTATACACTTGCATGCTAAATTCCAATTGAATATTCAAAGTAATATGGTAAACGATACAGAGACTTCTAAATAAACGAATGTGTGAATAAAAAAACAACTTTACCTCTATTTTGCTGTTTGCATCATGTTCAGTATATAAAAGGGATTTTCTATACTGTGAAACATATTAATAGCAAATAAAGTGATTGCTTTCAAAATGTATCAAAGTAATGAGCAATTGCAGTTTTATGGATGTGACATTTTTCTGTAAAAACTCAAAACACAAATTCACAGAAAAGGTGTATAATTTAACATTAAATTGAAACATTTGTTTCCAAAATATTTTAATAGAAAACATGTCAGGCTAAATAATTAAAATAAATCATTGACTTCTGCTGTCTTCATTAGTTTCAAAAACACAGGTTACTTTACGATTTAAAATGGTATTTTTGTATATCTTTTCTGCATAAAAACGTAAATAAAAAATCTTACACATACCTTAGGAACGGTATAGCAGAAAATGTTGGCGGTTTTAAAACCTTGACTTTTCAAAACCGCTGTATACCTTGAAAACGGTTATCGTCTCATGCCTAGTCATAGGCCATGAAAAACACAAACAAAATTATAAACCATTGACACAACACTGCATTTACTCACAGTGTGATTATTGCGAATGATCACATTGCGATATTAGTGCTGAAACGATATATTGTGCAGTCATAATTGTTGCAGTGAATGACAATTTAATGAGTGTCTTCTGTTAATCATGGTACAAATACACAATATTCAAATATAAATTTTTTTGTGCAAAAATAACAGGAGATATTGTTGTATATGGAAGGAGAAACATGCACTCTCTCTGTTTTGATGCTTGAAAATCATTCGTTTTCATCTTTGACCTCAATTTAACTGTGTATATGGGAGCAATAGTATGTGAAATCCAGTCACTCAAAACTTACAGTGTTATTTGATGTTTTGTGTCTAAGAAACTGATGAGAGACACTATGTCCAGTCCTACTGGCACCGTGAAGGCGGAGGGCATTATGGTGCCTGATGTTGGCGGCGCACCACCACAGGGCTGTCCAATGCATCGCAATGTTAATGAAAGTAAGACTGTTTGAAACATTAATAACATAAAAATAACATTTAAAAGTACAAAATTAAAAAAACATATACAGTTTAAGTCATAATTATTAGCCCCCCTTTGAATTTTTTTCTTTTTTTAAATATTTTCCAAATGATGTTTAATAGGGGAAGGAAATTTTCACAGTACGTCTGATAATGTTTTTTCTTCTGGAGAAAGTCTTATTTGTTTTATTTTGGCTAGGATAAGATCAGTTTTTATCTTTTCTTTAAAAACCATTTTAAAGTCTTAATTTTTTTTCGATTGTCTACAGAACAAAACATCATTGTACAATAACTTGCATAACTACCCTAACCTGCCAAGTTAAACTTATTAATCCATTTAAGCCTTTAAATGTCACTTTAAGCTGTACAGAAGTGTCTTGAAAAATATTTAATCAAATATTACTTATCGTCATCATGACAAAGTTAAAAGAAATCAGTTATTAAAAGTGAGTTATTAAAACTATTATGTTTAGAAATGTGTTGAAAAAATATTCTCTCCTTTAAACAGAAATTAGGGGAAAAAATAAACAAGGGGGCTAATAATTCTGACTTTAACTGTAAATCTGTAGTAGGGCTGTTGCTAAAGGTTCATTTGATATTAATGCTTTAATAATTATTTTATTAATCAAATTATATAAAATGGATTATTTTAGTTATGTTGTCAAAATCTATTATTTACTCCCTGACTGATTTTTTTTCTCAAACCATTTTCTCACTAGCTTTATTTCTAATCTAGCTGTTTGATGAACTCGCTGTTTATATGATGAATATTTTTGGCTCGTAACCGTACCGTACCACTGAGTGAAAACAGGCCATTATTGTGCTTCTGTGTCTCTTAAATGCACACAAAACACATGAATGCACATTTGTGGGGTAAATTATGCTTAATACCACGGACATTCCTGGGTCTATGTAGTTTGTTCAAAACAGGTTTAAGAAGTAAACACTACTTTGTAAACCGCAGTGTAATGAATGGTTTATTTTTAATTTTTTTAAAGAAAAAGTCATTTCCTACATGTAAACTTTTTCTTGAAGAAATGACTTCTACTTTACATTTAGAGCAAATACAGTAGGTAATGTTGAAAAGAAAACTTGAGCAATTTGACAAAATCTGTTACCTTGACAAAACTATGAATCATTTTTATGTATTTTTGTTTATCACACTCTGTAGTTTTAGATAGATTGTGTTGTGATTGGGTTTAGTTTTATTTATTTTAATTCTTTGTTTGCATATGTAATATTTTATGCAACAGTCAAGTTGTATGTTAATTTGCTATGTGAAGAAAAGAAAATTATTTATTTTTTGGCATACTGATTTATGTGAAATTGTGAATATAAGTCTATATAATCACCTTGCAGTTTTGAAATTATTTCTTTGTTGCTTTGATTATGCCATTTTAAGATCAGTTCAAACTTTTGTTTTTAAAATAAAATCAGTTGTTTAATGTAGAAAAATATTACATTTTAAAATTTTTTTATTTATCAGACTATATATCGGTTATCGGCCTCCAAATCCTGAGAGTTATAGGTTATTGAGATCGCCCAAAAAATCCACATTAGTGCATCCCTAAAACATGGACAATTTTTTTCTGAACCTTTGTCTTCAATTAAAACTTATTTGACACAAAAATTGTTTGCAATTTTTAAAAAAAGAAGGTAAGCTAAAATTGAAGTAGACTAAACTGAGTTTACTTCACTAAATTATTCACAAATTGGTTGGCAGATATTTTTCTGTACACACCACATAGACAGTTAATAGCCATTCAGATGCTTTATTAATTATTTCAATTATTGATCATTTATTGATATTATCATAATATAAACAAATAGCAATATTCTTTTTTTTTATCCATTCCTTCTCCAACAGGTGTTCCTCCTCCAGAATGCCCAATGCATCAGGCATCTAGAGATCACACGAAGAAAGCTCCAGATGTACCTGCACATCAGGACAGGGCTTATGAATTTGTGGAGTGTCCTATGAGAGCTGCCAGTGGGACGAAACCCACACTGTCCGACATCAATCCAGCCAACATGGTATTTTGTGCACTTCCAGTCGGTTTCCTAGATGTTTAGACGCATCCAGTGTCTTTACTTGTTTTCCTCTGCTCTACAGATGCCTCCACCTAACCAGCAGCCTTCAGCTGATCAGCCCTTTCCCCTGTCAGTTGTAAGAGAGGAATCCACCATTCCCCGTGCTGGAGCTGAGCAGAACTGGGTTTATCCCTCAGAGCAGATGTTCTGGAATGCCATGCTGAGGAAAGGGTAACTTTTTGGGAAACTGCAGTCTGTAAATTAAGAATCTTTGTCGCCATCTCTGATTGAAACCTTTATTGCAGTTAAATGTGGAACGATCGCCTTTAAGGGAATTTTGTAACAGCTAGGGATGCACCAATACCAATTTTGGAACCGATCCAATCCCGATACTAAAATTTTGACTGTCGAATGATACAGACCTGGTCCTGATACTGTGCCTTTTTTTCTTTTTCTTTTTTTCAAGCATAATTTAGTTTCTATAGCTCCTGAGCTAAACTCAAATAATATACCTTCTTTAGTCAAAATAACAGACCTAAAGACCTAATGTATATGACAGACGGCACAATCTAACTAAAACACGATGCTTGCTGTAAACTAGGCTACATTATTTGAGCATTCATTATGACATTGTTATGATCTGTTGTGGTTTAGCTAATGTTTCCTTTTGTAATATTAAGATAAAAAAAAACTGTAATAGGCTACCACTATTGTCCCTATTTTTTGGTAAAATAATCGGCCTTTTAGCTAAGCCTGATATTTTCCTGCAGGTTTGAAGAAGACTAAACTAAACTGTCAGCCAGTTTTACTTTATAAACATTCCCTCGCCTAAAGGTGATCTCACTTGCCATGAGTGAGATGGAGAAAATGAAAGCACATCAGCACAGAGGAAAAATCAGATGTTTAAGACATCTTCATTAAAATAATAAATTATACATGTAGCAAATATATGACAGGTTTGTGATACAACAATTACAGTAGAACAATAATTAAATCCTTATTTTCCATGGAGTGAAGCAAATCATCCATCCACACAGTTGGGTTAATCTATTTTTGTCTGAAAAAATGACAAAATCTTTTTGGAACGAATTTTGTTTGGTATTAATCTAATTAATTTTGTTTGTATATTAATTAGGGCTGGGTATCATTCCAAAATGTTCGGTACTGATACCGATACCCTGAATTCAAAACGGTTCCGAACGATACTTTTTTCGATACTTTTACATTTACATTGAGTCATTTAGCAGACGCTTTTATCCAAAGCGACTTACAAATGAGGAGAAGGAAGCAATTTACACAACTATAAGAGCAACAATGTGTAAGAATCAGCTTTTTGATTTAAATCATGTATAAACTTTGGGGATTTGAATCAAAGATTCGAACATGATTCACATAGAATTATTTAAAGCTTACACTTAACTTAAATATTTGTCCAGCAAATAGAACGTTTAGTGTAAAGCAATTCTGTATTATATTATTACGTGGCCAACAATAACGATATAAAAACAGTATCTAATTATTTAATAAGCAAGGTAGCAGTATCTGAAGCTGAGGCATTAACTTATAAAGCACACAACACACCAATACTGATCTTAAAACAAAACAAAAGTTTATTGCTACTCTATAACACAAAGTACTAATCTACGTAAAACAAAAAAACGCACATACATACACACACGCACAAGCAGTTTGAGGAGAGTTTTGGCTGAGTGGATTTAACTTCTAACATTTGCTACGTTCTTAGCATTGCAACCTGTGGGAAACCATAAAAGCAGAGAATTTCGCTATTCTTTACTACCTAAACATAATTCACACCAGTTTCAGCAATGGATAGAAACCTTGTTTGTGCTACTTGCGTTCTGATGGAATTTTGGTTTCCTTGACTGGTCCAAAGGGAAATCCCAGGGAAGCTGATTGGTCAGTGTAGCAACTTCAGTGACGTGATAAAATTCCCTCGTTAGGTGAAGCTGAAGCTGAAGATGATGATCTTTCATCCAGTGTGAAATGTCTGACAGGCAGGCTGATATGCGAGCCGGAACCGAGGGATCATCAGGGTGAAAAGAGAGGTATAGCTGGGTATCATCAGCATAGCAGTGGTAGGAGAATCCATGTTTCTGGATGACTGATCCCAACGATGTTGTGTAGATGGAGAAGAGAAGTGGTCCAAGAACAGAGCCCTGTGGTACCCCAGTGTTTAGATGCTGTAGGTTGGACGCCTCTCCTCTTCAAGACACCCTGAATGACCTGTTAGAGAGTTAAGATCCGAACCACTGAATAACCGTGCCTGCAACACCTAGTGACTCAAGCGTAGATAGCAGGATCTGGTGGTTTACAGTGTCAAAAGCAGCTGACAAATCCAGCAAGATGAGGATTGATGATTTAGAGTCTGCTTTAGCCAGTCTGAGATCCTCCACGACCGAGAGCAGGGCAGTCTCAGTTGAGTGCCTTTCTTAAAGCCAGATTGCTTGTTGTCCATGAGGTTGTTTTGAGTGAGAAAGTCCAGGACTTGATTGAACACTACTTTCTCCAGAATCTTGGCCATGAATGGAAGCAGGGATACTGGTCTGTAGTTTTCAAGTAGCGTATGGTCCAGGTTGGGTTTTTTTAGCAGTGGGGTTACCCTAGCCTGCTTAAATGAAGTGGGGAATAAACCAGAGTCAAGAGATTTGTTGATTATGTGAGTCAGTGTTGGTATGACTGCAGGAGAAATGGCTTGCAAGAGATGAGTGGGAATGGGATCAAGCGGACAGGTGGTTGCATGGCTAGATAGCACGAGTTTGGTCACCTCAGACTCAGAGAGCTGAGAAAAAGCGGTGAGCGTGTGTGGTGACGGTGGTGTGTCTTGCCTGTTTGTAGTAGGTGCAGTAAATTGAGCACTGACTTTTGTCGTTTTGGTGTAAAAGAATGTAGCAAAGTCATCAGTAGTTAGTGTGGAGGATGCGGGTGGCGGAGGAGGATAAAGGAGGGAGGAAAATGTTTTAAAAAGTAGGTGAGGATTGGTGGCATTGTTGATTTTTTTGATGGAAGTATGACTGTTTTGCAGAAGTAACATCAGCCGAGAAAGAGGCCAGAAGAGTTTGGTATGTTATGAGGTGTGCAGGAATTTTAGTTTTTCCCCAAATTCTCTCTGCAGCCCGAAGTTTTGAGCGATGCTCACGGAGAACATCAGAGAGCCAGGGTGCAGGAGGACTGGCACGGGCTGGCCTAGATGTAAGAGGACATAGTCTGTCTAGACACAATGCTAGTGTGGAGCTGAGTGTATCAGTGGCACTGTTAGTATCCAGTGTAGCGATTTTGCAAGGTGGAGGAAGAGAGTCTGAAACAATGGTGGATAGTTTATTGGGTGAGAGAGAGCGTAGGTTTCTGCGCAAGGCAACTTGTGTAGGAGTGTGTGGCGGTTCAGGAGTAATGTGGATGTTGAGAGACAGAAGGAAATGATCTGATTTGTGTAGTGGAGTTACTAGTGTTTGATTAGCAAAGCAATGTCGAGTGTAAATAAGGTCCAGCTGATTACATGATTTGTGAGTAGCAGAAGTAGGTGCTCTTTTGAGGTCAAAAGAGGCAAGCAGAGTCTGAAAGTCAGCAGCTTGTGGTCTTTCAATGTAGATATTGAAGTCACCTAGCACCAACAAGGGAGTGTTATAATCAGAAAAAGATGAGAGATGAGGGATGGTCTCTGAGTAAATTTCCATGCTCTGGAAATCAGTAGTCCCGTCCCATCCCATCCCCTCTCCCTGTCTGACGAGGAGTTGTGGGAAAAAGAGAAATTAGCAGAGAGAGCTGCATGTGTAGCAGTGTCCTCCTGTCTCAACCAGGTCTCAGTTAGAGCCATGAGATTATAGTTAGAATGTGTAGCTATGGAGGTAATAAGATCTGCCTTGTTCACAGCAGATTGACAATTTCTGAGGCCCATGGAAAGAGAATTGTGAAATTGCAGATACTTGTATTGAATGAAGGTTGTGAGGATTACCTCACGTGCTTTGCGAGTGTTAGTAACAACAGGAATTAGTAAACACATGATGAAAGTGCAATACAAACAATAATTAGTGTAAGGATAAAGAAAAATAAAAAAGTACAGTACTCAAGTGCTTTGTCGGTGTCTTTGCTCGGTGGAGTCGCGCAGGTAGAGTCGATGGTCTTTACACTCGTCGGCCTTCACACGATGCGGTCTTCACACGAGGCGGTCTTCACACGAGGCTGCCGCGACCGCTGCCGTAGTGAGAATAGCTGCTTATATACACCCCAGAGCACTAACTTAGCTGATTGAGTTCAGCTGGACACCCAGAGCACTAGCTAATTGGATTCAGCTGGACACATCTCCAGGGTACAAACACCCGAAACTACGGCCGTGAAGCCATCTGCGATTGATACGCAAGCTAATGCTTGTACAGCTAATGCAGTAACTAAGGAAACAGTGAGTAAACTTTCTACACATACACACAGACACTGAAAGCAAGTTTAAGTGTCCTGGAATATTATCCTTATTATTATTTGTTTTTATTTTTATTTTACTTGTTTCTTTTATTCTTGTTTATGTAAAGCACTTTGAATTGCCGCTGTGTATGAAATGTGCTATATAAATAAACTTGCCTTGCCTTAGAACCACCCACAAACACTGAAAACAGGTCTAAATGTCCTCGGGTGCACAAAACAGTCCTAAAATAGCTGAGGACAGTTAGCAAACAGCTAGAACCATCCACAAGCAGCTGAAAACAAGTCAAAATGTCCTCGGAGGGCGCGAAATCGTCAAAAACAGCTGAAAAGCAGCTACACTACAGCCAGGACCATACACAGACACTGAAAGCAAGTCTAAATTTACTTACACACGGCTGGTCTCGTTGCTAAAATGCTTCTCCTACTCACCGAGCCTGCTGTGCCCTTAATATACTCTTAACCTGGCGTTAGGACACACCTCCAGAGTACAAATACCCGAAACTATGGCCGTGAAGCCATCTGCGATCGATATGCAAGCTAATGCTTGTACAGCTAATGCAGTAACTAAGGAAACAGTGAGTAAACTTTCTACACGTACACACAGATACTGAGAGCAAGTTTAAGTGTCCTAGAACCACCCACAAACACTGAAAACAAGTCAAATGTCCTCGGTGGGTGCGAAATCGTCACAAACAGCTGAAAAGCAGCTACACTACAGCTAGAACCATACACAGACACTGAAAGCAAGTCTAAGGGTGCTTTCACATCTGTAGTTTGCTTTATTTGGTCCGGACCAA